ATGCCGTAGTGGGTATGCTAATATGCCGTGGTGCGTGTATGCAAATTTGCATTTATCAGTTTGCAAATCAAAACCAAAAAATCAGAAGTGGGAAAAGAGAAATCATGAGGAGACGATGATAGACGACTGGTGGGTGCTAGGGCTCGACCTTGGGATTACTTTAGAAGCATTTAGAGCAAGATTGAGCTTTGGGTAAGCTTTCTCCACTTCTCTTTCTCCTTATATTTGAACTTCTTTGATGATTATGGTATTTTGAGGCTTTGATTTCATGTTTTCTTTGTAATGGTTGAACCCATTACTTTAGTTAAGGCATTGGGGAGTTAAATCAAGCCTCTAAACCTATATTTATGGATTACATAAAGATTTAAAGTTGTTAGTTAAGGTTTAGACAAACCTTAGGTAGAAATTGGGTGACTAAGAGTAACGTAGGTAATGTAATAGTGTTATTTATTTGTTGGGATGTTTGAATAGAGTTAATATACTGTGTTAGAAGGATTTGAGCATAATGGGTACCCCTTGTATTATTTGGGATGATTAGTATGGGGATTAACAATTAAGGGTTTAATCTTGTAGATTAACCTTGATTGAGTATTGTGGTGCTAGTGGATGCATGTGGAGCTTTTGGTTAACCATGATAACCCTTTCAGTGATGAAAGGGTTGAGGTAATTGAATTGTCTAATCCCCTTTTTGTGTGTTTGGATGGTAGTGTGTTAGATTTCCAAGTTAATGTATTGTTTTGATACTAACATAGTGATAATATAAAATTATGATTTTGAAATTATGTGAAGTGGAATGAAAAGTTTCTTTAAAATTTAGTATTTAGAAAGCTAAATGCTATTTTATGTATAATTACCTGTGAAATTCTATGATTTAAGTAGGAATGAGAAATTGTGATATATGATATGTTATGGATATGTGTTGGATGTTTTAAGCATGTTTGGCATGATCATTATAAGAGGGTGAGAGTTTATCCTAGTGTCTTGTCAGGACATTATTTGAAAATTTATATGATACACTAGCACCGTGGAGGCCCCGGTACCTAGTATTATATTATTTGAAAGTCCTAGTACAACAAGTGATAAATTGGGCTTCGACACCCTAAGTTTTTGTGGATAGTGGGAATTTGAGGTTTATAATGGGTAAAGGTGCTCTTAGCTAGGGTTGCCTCCTACTAATAGTGAGCTTGAGCCAGTCCAGTCACAAGAATTTGGTCCTATCAAAATTGTCAGCCCATAGATTTAGTCGGAAGATATAAGGAGTGTATAGAGTGGTGTATTGATCATGCATATCATACTATAATAAGTGTGGATTTGTGAGACATGTTATATGTTTTACTATACCACTTTACATATGCACAAATTGTTCTCACACATGAGTAGTTGATTAGACTATTTAGTTATTGAGTCCTCAACTCACCTCGTGGTTACATTTTACAGTAAAGACTTTGATAGGGATAAGGGAAAGGAGGGTGAAATCGAGCATCGAGAGAACTAGCTCTCATTTATATAGTCCTTTCATTTATTTTGGTTTGTAACGAATATTGAATGCATATGCCAACTTAGGACACATATGGCTTTGTGATACACTTGCATGAATTCTGTTGTTAACTGTGGGTATCTTGGCCTAGGTTATTTGTATCTATGTTGTAATGGTTGTGAGAGGTCGAGATATTAGTACAAGTATTAGTTTTGTTTTGATTTGTGTTAGATTGGCTATTGGATTGTTTAGGGGAAATTGTTACCGCTAGGGAAATTTATGTTGAAAATGGGGTTTTTGTTGGCCAATTCTTGTTTAGTTGTTATAATTATGATTTAAATGCTTGAATAGGTTGTTTATGGTCCATTTGAGTCGATTCAAGTGGTTCCATAGTTACTGACATTCGAATTATGAGATTGGACACCTTGGTAGTAATTTTTTAGAAGAAAATGAATCATTTTGGGTTTAGGTTTCCAAATCTCGTTTGACTTTGTGTTTGGGTGTGAGACTGGTGCCAATAGCTAGGTGGCTCAAAGAGCTATGTGTAGACACTTGAATTGCTCGAATTGAATGTCAGACAATGAAATTGCCCTTTTCAAAAGTTGGCTAGGAGAGCTGTCATGACAATAAATAGCCCTTTTCAGAAATTGGCTAGGAGAATTGTTATGACAACAGTTTGTTGTCATGACAGAGCACGCACACCATTGCGTGAGGCACAATGAGGGACTTTTCCCTCTGTGCAATCTATCACGACAAATGATGCATTGTGGCTATATGGCTAAAATATATTATTACTTATTATTTTTGTAGCATGATGAATTTTCAATGCTTCCGTCGTCTTATTTACTTGGTTTTAAATTATAGTTTGAGCTCAAAAAATCTTGTAAAAAGGGTTTTTCTTAGGATCTCATTTTCTTAAACATTTTTTAACCCTTGGGTTATGATAACCATTTATGAGATTAATGAAATCTCAGTTATCATAATGTTGTCCTATGTTATGCGTTTTGTGTGTTTGGTAATGTCGAAGATGATGTTACAGTTAAGATTGTCGCACCTGGAAAAATACAATGTGGACGGCACGGGAGCAGAGGTCCTGGCCTTCATGGCAGGAACCGCATGAACGAGGAGTCACCACCAAGATTTTCAGGGAAATCTCAGGAAACTGATTAATGGAGGATAAGGGTGGTCTGTGAAATCAGAGAATAGGTTCGGGAGTCGGTTGAGTGTGGGGAAGGTGTTAGGCACCCCACAACACCTGTTCGTCAGAACGGTTACCTGAAGTTTGTTGTGCTCTTTTAATATGGTTTTATAATTATTTTAATTATCCCTTTTGTATTCATGTGTTTGATAAAAATGATAAGAATTAAGCGAGAAATGTTTATTTATTTACGAGGGAGGACAGACTTGACTCAGAATCTGACTTTGAGGCCTACGTATCCTGTGATGGGGATCAAAGTCCATGTAGTTCGGGCTTGAAAATTGTTGGTGAACATATATTTTTTGAAATGAAATTAATTAGAAACAATTTACCAATTTGCAAATAAAATAATTTCTGAAATTTTGATATGTGTGTTTTAAATTGCAAAAGGTAATTTAATTTTAATTATTTTCTCCATTTTTGAATTTTTGGAATAAAGAAAGGAAAGGATTTAAAATTATTTTTCTTTATGTTTTATGATTGGGAATTTTAATCGTAGTACCTGCAGAACTTTATTGGTTCATACGGTAATGCAATTGCTCTAAATATCTACGGAGATTCTGAAATCTCACATGATAGAAGAAATTGACAATTTAATTTATTTATTTATATTCTTATGTACATTTTTAAGTATTGATAATAATTTTTAGCATGTAGATACATGTTTTGAAGAATTTTAATCATCATACCTGCATAACCTTATTGGCTTATACGGTAATATGATTATCCTAAATATCTGTGAAGATTTTAAAATCTCACACGATAAAGAAATTAAATTTAAATACATTTTTAATGTGATTATATTAATATATAATATATATGTATATATATATATTTTTAAAACTAAATCGTTATATCTGCAGAGTCTTATTGACTCATACGATAATACGATGATCTTAGAAACCTACAGAGATTCAAAAATCTCACATGACTAAAAGATATAATCAGTAAATATGGTTACAATTTAAATACATTAATTTGGTTAATTAAGTTTCTTAAATTATATATTATATGATTATTTACAAAAATCACTTATTTATTATAAAAATTGAAAATCACTATATCTGCGAGAACTTATTATCCCACACAATAATGTGATTAATCTAATTCCCTACGAAGATTCTTGAAATCTCACATGGAACTTAAATAAATTATTAATTTAGATTATAAAAAGAGAGTTAATTTTAATATATAAGTTTTGCTCTCATATCTGTGAAATCTTATTGATTTACATGACACGAGATTATTCTGAATATCTGCAGAGATTCAAAGTCTCATACGATAAAAGGATTAAAGAATATTCACTTTAAACATATTTTAATGCGCAATTATATAATGAGTATTTTTTTAATATAAAAATCTTAATTATTATACTTGCGAAGCCTTATTGACTCACACGGTAGTACGATTATCTTAAAGGTCTACGGAGTTTCAAAAATCTCACATGACCAAAAGATTTAATTAGAAAATATAATTATAATTTAAATTCATTAATTTAATTAATTAAAAATTATAAATTTTTTTTTCATTTATTCACAAAATTTTTTTATTTATTTACTATATAAATTGTGAATCACAATTTCTGTGAGAATTTATTATCCTACACGATAATGTGATTAATTTAAGTTTCTACAAAGATTCTTGAAATCTTACATGAGACTTAAATATTAATTATAAAGAGAGAATTAATTTTAATAATGAGCTTTTGAAACCTATATAGATACAAGTCGGATTTTCATACTTGCAAAATCTTATTGATTTACACGGTATAAGATCATTTTAAATGTCTGTGAAATTTTTAAAATTTCACACGACAAATAAGTAACAAACAAGTATACACTCTATTATTTTTTGGATCTCAATTACAAAATTCAAAATTCATCCAAAAGAAAAATGGAACTCCTTTCTAATGGTGACATAATGAGCATACAAATAAATAAGAAGATAATAAAAACAACCAGTAGCTTTGGCATTTAAAAGAACTAACTTATAAACATATTGATTGATGATATTTGAAGCAAAATACACTCAAGAGTTTATGGAGTAAATTAACAATTAGCAAGTTTTGTAACTAAAGAGATATAAGATAGAAATCTTACCATCAATTTAGACTTCAGAGATTAGGATGAGAATCAATGCTCTTTGTTGATATGTTGAACACCCATTTCTATACTCCTTAGCTAGACGTAGGGATCTACTTGCACCCTACTCCATCTTCTTTAACTTATTTGTAGGTAATTTTCCATCCATATTGCTGTTGACAAAACCAAAACCATGACCCTTCTGCACTAATTCTTCCAAAGCAATACGTCCACAACGAGGCCATTACCAAGCCTTGACCAGTCCAGTACCACAAATAGCTCCTAAGCACCAAGCTACCATATACACTAAAGCTCGGATGAATGTTACCTTCCTGGCCAAGAACAATCCGAATGTAACTGCAGGATTGATGTGGCCACCAGTGATATTGGCGGTGCAATAAATGAGGATGAAGATCATGCCACCGAAGGCCCAAGTGATGCCTAGGAAGCCCATACTGTTACAGAAGCCGAGCTGCTTTTTTTTGTGGCTGATAACAGTAGCGATGGTGACGTAGAGGAAAAGAAGGATGGTGATGAACTTGACATTTCTTCTTTCTCGAGCTTCCTCGCGCATGCTTCGTCTATGTGTTCTGCTTCTCCTTTACTGGTGCTTTCTATGTCTCCTTCTCTCTCTCGTCCTCCTTCTTGTCTTTCACTCCGTCTCTCTCTCTTGTGTCTCTTATTGTGCTTTATTTTTGCTTCATTTTTTTTTGGTCTCTTATTCTGTACTTTGTTTTCCTTTTAGTTTTTCCTCCTCTCTCAGACTCTTCCTCAGTCTCACCTCTCTCTCACAGTTATAGCTCTCTCTTTTTTCGTCTCTCCTCCCTCTTCTCTCACGTTGAAACATTCCTGTTTCTCCTTCTCTCCATGCTCTATTTTTCCTTCATTTTTTGTCTAGTTTTCTCTCTCCAGTTCTAGTTTTTCTCTCAGTCCCCTCATCTGTTCCTACTGTCAATTTTTTTCTGTGTGCATGCGGTCTGTGTTCTTTCCTTTCTTCCAGTTTTTTTCTCCATTCTCTTTTCACAGTGTTTTTACTTCTTTCGGTCCCTCTCTCTGTCTCTATTTTTGCCTTTTTTTTGTCCAGCTATGATCTGCGTTTTATACTCTCGGTCTCTCTTCCCTCTTTCTCAGCTTTTCTGCTTTTTCGTGCTCATTTTCAGCTAGCGTGTGGGTGCTGCATTTTTGCTTATGTTTCATGTATACTTCTTTTATGTGCATGTCCAGTTTTTTGCCTGCTCTCTACTCTCTTTTTTAGAGGTAAAGGTTCGTTCTCTGTCTGTTGCATGCATACATGTTTCGACTGGTGGCAGTTTAGTTCTCCTTCTGCATTTCTATGTCTTTCTGTGTGTCTTTGGCTTTCTTTTTCTTTCGTGCACGTCTTCTTCATCTCTTTTGGGCTGTGGCTGTATCTGTTCCTTTAGTTTTCTTTTTGTGTGTGATTTCCTATCCCTGTGTATGTGCTGAAAGTGTGTGTACATGAGCTGCACAAGTCTTGTGTTTCATCCAGCCTTTTTTTTTGCTTTTAATAATTTTTTAGATTAAATTAACACACACACACACACACATGTATGTATTTTTTTAAAATGAAAAAAAAGATTTAAGGAGAGAAATTTAACTTTCAAAAGTTAACTCTCAATATTTTTGAATGATTGGGATAATTTAGAGAGAGATCTTAAAAGATTTAAACAAGATTTTTTTATTTTTGAAAATATAATCCTAAAAAAGGATTAAATTTTATTTTTATATTTTTTATATTTTTTGACTATTTTATTATTTTATTAAATTTAAAAAAATGCTCGGACAAAATACGGTGTTCACAAAGATCTTTAAGTATAAATGTAGAATATCATTTAAGTTGAGAGACCATCAAGAAAACATCCTCTTGTACAATATGCCAAAACTTTTTGAAAAAAAAGTTGGCATGGAATCCATCAGGGCCTAGACAATTGTCTTTTGGTAAATTAAAAATGGTATCCTTAACCTCTTGTTTAGATATGGGATATAATATCACCGCATTACCCCAGCATACTTAACCATAAAAACCATAATCTACCATAGTCATAACATAATAATGATCCAAATTCCTTTACCATGGTAGATAGGACATAACTACAATTACAAAAATAGCTATTCATTATCAATTAATCACCACATCTAGCACATTAAGATAATTAGGAGTCATCAAGCTCCTAAGTTACCTTAATCAATAATGGTTAAAATATAGAAATTAAATCTTTAAAAATGGTTGGGATCCCAAAACCTTTAGAAAATATGTAAACTCAAATTATAAGTATTTATGCACAATAGAAGCAACATGGAATGTAAAACCTATTACATAATGAATCAAGGGCAAAAAGGTCATTTTTTTCCAAATAGACACTTATGCCATGGCATATAGCACAGAGCGATTACTTCTTGTTTTGTACTATACATTACACTGCACATAATAGCGGATAGCTCATTTAGAGTGAACTTTTGATGTGTGCCATTTTCACACACAAGGCTCAATTAGAGTGATTTAAGCTCCCACACGTAGCTTATTTCATAGATTAACTAATGGCTCAAGTTTCATCTTAATCCAATATTTCATTTGAAAATTGAACACTTGAGTGCAAAATGACCACTTTATGCCATTTTTTACATCCGAGCATCCCAAATTTCAACTTATGTCATTAGCCACAAATAAGGCCTCAACTATATCTAAGAAGACAATATCTGCTTGATTAAGCAATCATATCATCAATCATGCTTTCACATATCAATTTGGCTACCCAGACACCTTGATCTCTCATTTAATAAGGCGATATTCATATTTATGCACAAAATCATTTCCTGGCCAAATTTCACACATCACATTAATTCAAAACATCCAACATGTACTTGTACTAGTATTTTAGCAATATATACTTGTACTAGTATTTTAGCCTACTGTCACATTTATCATATTATCACATTTTAGGACTAAGATATACATATTGCACAATCATACAAGTGCAATCAAACATGTATATGTATTCCTATTAGGCAATCACCAAGTTAGTTACAAATCTTTAATTTAACTTTCAATAACCCTTTTAAGGCTATTTGACCAGAAAACAACCCCTCAAAACCTCATAATTCAATTTCTCTAAATCTCAAACTATGAGAAAATAGGGTAGAATAGAAGAGTAGATAAATACTAAAATTACCCAGCAGACGATAGGTTGGAACTATCTCCTAGGTGCTCAAAATCCTACGCTCTAGCATAGAGCTCTTCCACTCCCCCTCTCTATCATTTATTAAAAATGAGGAGACTTAGAATCCTTATATTTCAAAATGTGAAATTTTCAGGAAGTTTCTATAATCTTTCTAATAACTTAAGATATCTTTATTGGCATAAATATGCATTTAATTATTTTCCTTTAAATTTTTAGCCAAAAAATCTTGTGGAATTGATTATGCCAGATAGCAATATAACATAACTATGGAGAGATGAAGAGGTATTGATAATTTTCTTTCACTTATATCAATTAAAACTATTTTATGATTAAAAATTTGATATTTCATAATTTAAATACATCTCATTTCAATTCTTCTAATAATGTACTTTTTATTCAATATTTCTCTCATTAAGAGGTGTTGAAGTCTTGTTGTCATTTCCATGAAAAAAGTGTCATTAATTATGGCACTTTGGCATCGACATTAGTGAATATGAAAATTTCTTTTGGATGTTTCAATTTAAAAATCTCATCTTTGAACAACTTTTCATAATTGTTTGATCTGCTATCCGAAAATGTATTATGCACCTAAGGAGTTTGAACCTGTGTGGCTTTAAAGATTTGAAAAAGACACCTAATTTTAGATTGCTTCAAAGTCTTGAGAAACTAGACTTGGAAGGATGTACTTCATTATTGCAACTTCATTCCTCTATTGTGTGTCTAGGAAGGATTAAGTTTTTGAATTTGAGAAATTGCATAAATGTAGTAAGTGTCCCAAATGAATTGTTTGCCAAAAGCTCTCTTGAATTTTTAAATTTGATTGGCTACTCTAAATTTTCCAAATGTTTAAGATTCAAGAGAGTAACAGTAAGTCGATCTTCTATTAGACTTATGTGTTGGAATTTCAACGTCTTATTGTGTTGGCCCCCCATCCAAGTAACGTTATTGCTTAAGTTAGAGATTTATGTAGCTAATTGTTGCATGCAATGAGAAATATTGATATAAGTATGGAGCATTATATTACTATTTTATAAATCTATTCAATCACACTCAATATTTATAATATCTTAAATTTTGATACATTATTTTACAATGAGATAGTCAAGAGCATATTTTTGGCAAGTACAATAGATTCAAAACTAATACTCAAACATTATGTCAATTGTTGTAGTAATAGTATGTGTGTCAAAAGTCTCACATTGTCTAAACAAAGAGAGCTCCTAGTGTATAAATACTAAAGAATAAAATGAGCTAATAAAATGGGTTTGGAGGAGAAGTGAGCTCACACATACGAAACATGCCAACATAGGGCAATCATAGTTGAAATTAGCTGATTTGCCCCTTACACGCAACTTCAAGAGGCATTGGGTTCCTTTTATCAAATTATTTTGAAAAAAAAAATAATTATTACTTACATGAGCTTACTGAAAAACCTCATTTTTTAGCTTTCTAGAGTTTGAATTTAAACCATAAATGTTTTTTTTGCCTTTAAACTGATTCTTGAAATGGATGAATGAATTCCTTAAATGTGTTTGTCTGCCCAATGTCTCTAGACAAATGTTTAAATGAATTTTATGTTTGTGTAATTGGTGAATTAATCTAGTAAACGCTACCTAACATTTGTCTTTGCATAGTTGGTGAATTAATCTAGTAAATGCTGTCTAACATTGGTCCAAGATCTTAGCCTAGATATAGGCGTGCATGCAGACTGAACTGGTCACTAGCCTCTTAAGCTTTCAAGGTATTTCTCTCATCCTCTGACTTCCTATGTTCTTGTTCTTTGTTTGAGTTTATTTCCTATTAGTGCTGCTGTTCTGGTGCCTTACATGTGTAATAAATGCTTGTTTAATTATGGGGAACTGTCACTCCATCATCCCGGTGTGCCAGAATAGTTCTTAAGGACAGTGTCCTTTGGCACAACTCAAGCAGCTCAGTTCTTAGTTTACCACCATAAACCCAACATTAGTTAGCTAGTCCCCTTGTATATATAGACAAACATGTTAAAGTATCCTCTTCTATTCATTATGTATTTATATAGACACTCATATATTTATCAAACATTTTAAACTAGCTACGTAATGATTGCTTCAACTTTAGGATTAAACCAAACCTTCATTAGGTTAGCATATCATCAAAACTTTTCAAATAACACATACCTGTGTTAAAAAAAACCTAGTTAACAACATATTTAAATATTTTTTATAAAATATGAAAAAAAATAGCTACTTGTTATGAAGCTACTTGACTCCTATTATAATATTAACATTTATTCAAATAATATATATATTGTGAATTTAAGGTCACCTGTAATAACAAAGTTAAGAAATAAAATAACAATTTACAACATTAATTAAAACTACTATTATATATAGATATC